AGATCCCCTGACAGCTCTGTGAATGCTCATTTGAGACATTATCCATGGCGCACGACGAGGACGTGCTGCAGGAGTCTTACGTGAGGTTCCGTAAAACCAGAACAGTGCAGGACTGGTGCCCGAGTGACATACGGAGTAACTCCTTATATACGTCATGTTGGACTTAACTTTACCTCACGCCTGTGACAGAAATCACCGCGCCACACTTGGTGTTGTAAACATCCTGAAGATCACAGCTAGACTAAAAATTTTATGTATGATCTTAACCGTGTCATTCATCACACTATTTAGTTTATAAATTTTTTTTTTCACAGCGAAATGCTCCCATTAAGATCATACAATGAGTGGACAAAACTGATTTTGAGCGACATCTCGAGTCATGCATATATCACTTCCATATATGCTGCAACACATTTGCTCCAGTCTAAGGCCTAAACTTGAAAGTATTCATTAAGAGCATTAAATATCTCAGTCCAGACGACCAACCAGAACTGTCTGCTGGATTTCACGTCTGGGGAATGCAGAATAAATAAATTACAATCAGATAAAATAATACATATACATATAAATTAAATATACTTGATGCAAGATCACATTAACTAGGTCTAAAAATGCATAAGGAAAAGACAAAAATAATGAGAATAAACCAGACAGATAGTAATCTGGTTTCTCTTAATCGTATCCCACTCCAAGATGGAAAGTCATAAACTTATTTAGGCAGTAATGTAGATAAAGATGGGGTATCTGGTAGAGATATTAAAGTACGAAAAATGATAAGAGGAGCTTTTATAGTACTAGGAAATGTGTGGAGGTTAACAGAAATTAAAATTAATATTAAACTTAAAATTGTTAATTCTAATGTCAAATCATTACTTCTGTAGAGAGCGGAAACAGGGAGAATAACTAAAACATTTACTAATAAACTACAAACATTCATTAACTAGTGCTTGCACAGAAAAGAGGGAATTAAATGGTATGATAGAATCACTAATGCTGAGCTTTTGGAGAAAAACAAGTTCCAGCAGACCAAAAGTTGAAGAAAAGATTCTGGCCTTCGATAGGACACATGTTAAGAAAACCTGAAAATAATCTAACTAGAATGTCTCTGCAATGGAACCCACAGGGGCATAGAAATAAATGCACCCCCCCCCCCCCCAATTTAACAAACTGGGAGGACATGAGGTGAATAACGAAGGATAGAACAACTTGGCAGCCTGATATAGTTGGGGGCCTATGCTCCATTAGAGGATAGAATGCAGAAGAAGAAGAAAGTAATACATTTAAGATAAGAATAGAATCGTCTTTTATTGTTAGTTGTGTTCTAACTTTTATGCTGCAACATTTTATGTAGTGTATATTGGTTTGACGAATGATTAAACTCATGTATAAAACTATTTGGCTGATGCAGCATATTGTTGTCTGTCTCTGCCAGCTGACATCTATGACCACCTGGATGCTTTCCTGGAGGAGATTGGTGTTACCTGTGAGTGTGTGGGTGGTGGGAAGATTGACCATGACTCTGTGGCAAAAACCATCAATGTGTTTGGTCATTCACAGGTAAGGTTCAGACCTCTCGCTCACAATGTTGTATTGTCAGGCAGTAGTTAGTTGACTTTACTACTCGGTAGGCAATCCTACATGTGTGATTATCATGACAAGTTATCAAATCAGATTAGTAGTTCCCTGTGTGGGCCCTGGGGCCCCATTGTGGGGAAAACAAGAATAGACCCACTGCCTCCCCAGCTAGCATGTCATAAAAGTCGACTGACTTGGGAGCTTCCTTTGAAGTCGGAGTGCATTTGCCTGAGAGGCAAGGAACAAGCAATCGGCATACAAATATTCAGATCTGTAAAACCAATGTGCACGCAACACTCAGGTTATGGAACAAAAGAATAAAGTCCAGAACTTTCTGCTGGAGTTTACAGCCGCTGAACGCAAAGAAGAAAGAAGAAGAAGATTAGCAGAAATTAGTGAGGGCTATCATCACAGCGCTTCAGTCACACCCATAGCTGCTCGATCTCTTCAAAAACTCTACGAATGTAAAACGACTGATAGCGTCTGTTCTCATTTGATTCATTAAACGTTTTGTCCCCTTGGTGAAATAGTTCATTTCTTGCAGATACAGATTGCATCCTCGAATGTTGAATTAATAATTGACATCTCAGCACTCCGGACACCCCCATAAGCGCTCCGTCCCCATATTCAGCAGAAAGCAAAGAGTTCCAGTTTCGATGGCACCAGTAACTGTGTCACCTTTCCCCTGAGTGTTGAGCGCCGGCCAGATCCCCTTGTAACTCCTCGCAGCGCCAGTCTCCCCAGACCAGAATGATCTGTCTGTGCCTCCTCACTGTTCAGTTGCTCCCAAAGAGCCCTCACAACATCCAGATTACACCCTCAGTGTCCGTCAGCCTGGGCAGGTAAACGGAGTCATGCCTATTGCAGCCCGTGTGGGATCCGGGGCCCCATTGTAGGGGAAAACAAGAATAGACCCACTGCCTCCCCAAAAGCATGTCGTAAGAGTCGACAAATTGGGGAGCTTCCTTTGAAGTCGGAGTGCATCTGCCGGAGAGGCAAGGAACCAACAGTCTGGATTCCAGAGAATGAGATCTGTAAAACTGATGCACACGCAACACTCAGGTTCTGGAGCAGGACTGCAGTTCAGTAGTGGACGAGCAACCAAAACTTTCCGCCAGAATGTACAGCTGGTGAACGCGAAGAAGAAGAAGAAAGAAGATGCCTATTGCCCTATTCATCTTTGTGGTAAAGGCTGCACATGGCACTGATATTATCAGGCAAGAATGGATTGCAACACTAAGCACTTCACAAATATCTGCTCTAACCTTCATCTTTGTGCCAGTTCTTGCTGACACTGCGGTTGCTATGGCTGGTCCAGTACTAGACAGAAGTGATGTTATCAATGCCATGCGCTGCACTTACCGTACCGAGGAGCGCGCCAAAGGACATGAATCCGTATCTCTGTCTGGACTGCTGGACTTGGGGGTGCAGCCTGGAGCTGCAAGAAATGAACATTTCACTAAAGGGACAAGATGTTTCATTAGCCAACACAGAACAGGCGTCATCAGTCGTTTTACACTTGTGGAGCTTTTGAAGAGGAGATCGGAGCAGCTATGGAACTGTCCGGAGTGCTGTGATGATGATCCTTTATAATCACTGTGGCACTGTGGCACTGATAACAGATTGCTTCTCTTCAGTAACGGACCAGCCATAACAACCATAGGTTCTGCAAGATAATCTGTAAACTCCTTGCTTGGATCACCTGCATGACCCCGGCACAACGATGAAAGTTAGGATAGACATTCCCAAAGTGCTTATTGTTACAATCAGTTCTTGTGAGATGAACCCAACCTGGACTGTCTTAAGCATATTCATTGAGTCACTAATTATGCACATGTGTTTGAACTCGTGAGTACCCAGCTATGCTAATGCCTTTGAATGAGGTCCAACCCCACCAGGACTGCACAGCGAGTGGTAAACACCCCATGACACAAAGTGCCATTATTCGGATGAGAATCACCTCAGCGCAAGTCCCAGAAACCATCTTCAGTTGTTAGGTTATATTAGGGCTGTTTAGTAAGTGACCAGGTCTCACTAGTCAGCTTCATATTATCACAGTCACAGATGGCAAATGAACATTGTGGCTAGAAAGCCCTCATCAGCATATGACAAAATGTCAAGATTAAATTGTCAATCTGGCTTATCTTCTTCTTCTTCTTGTTCACCGGCTGTGAATTCCGGCGGTAAGTCACGGTTGTTCATCCAAAATGGACTTTTGGCTTTTACCTTGACCTGAGTTTTGCGTGTACATCCGTTTTACTGGCTTATTTGTTTGCAGTACTCGTTCCGCGCCTCTCCGGCAGATGTACTCCGACTTCGGAGGAAGACGTCAAGCCTATTTCTAGGTTGACTGTGGCCATTGTTTTGTGTGGGTCGAGATGTTGCCTTATTTGTGTGGTGTCCTCTTTGACTTTTAACAAGTGTGGCCCCCGGCATGTCGTCCTTAAGGCAGCTCTATGTAGAGTTTTCAGCCCTCAAGGGAAGGCAGGGGCAGATCATGGGCATTCCCCGCCATCCAAGGAGGCTTCCATAAATGCAGAGCCGACACATGATGCTCTGGGTCTGGGCTCACCCAAGGAATCGTCACGTCCTGCCCATGACTGCTTAACCTCACAACCGTGTATTGAGCTTCCCGCGCTACAAGGCTGCGCTCTCCGGAGATCAGCGGGGAGCAGCCCGCAGGTCTAGGACGTTTGTGGCCACACAAAAAGGTACATTTTTTTTTTCATCTTACGTTAGACACCTTTAACGTTGTTTCAGCTGTGCCCTTAGCACGACAGAATGGGGAAGCAAAATGCGTCAGGCGTGGCTTCACCTGTTTGGTCCCAACACTTGGGCGAGTTGGACCAGTGGATACAGACATTCAGACTTTTCCTAATCGGTACGAGTTATGATCGTCGGACTTTGAGCTTGCATGTGTGCCATGGGGTGTAACTTTGTCGGACATTGTTTTCAGGCCAGCATATGAAAAGTTGCTGCCATGGTGTACCTCAGCGCGGTGACGACGACACTGAGGATTGACAGAGGATGTACGTAGGTGGGATCTTGCTGCGAGAAGTCGCCCACAGGAGATGTTACTCGTCTTGGCTGCGGGTAAATCTCTCGGTCAGGGTTGAGTCTCAGCAGCACAGTTTTCCATTCGCTCCCGAATTTTAACCAAGAGTTGTCATTTGATGGTACATTTAGCAAGCAGTCCTTGAGTTTTGTTACTTTTCACCCATGCGTTTGGTGGCGGGCTGGTGAGAGCCAGAAAGGACTCTACACCTCTAGGGGCCGCCAGCTCCGAGATCCCCTGCCAACTCTGTTAATGCTCGTTTGAGACATTATCCGTGGCGCACGACGGGGACGTGCAACAGAAGTCTTGCATGAGGTTCCGTAAAACCAGAACAGTGAAGGACTGGCGCCTGAGTGGGGTACGGAATATCTCCTTATACACATCACATCAGACTTAACTTCCCCTCATGCCTGTGACCGAAATCACCGCGCCAAAATCTGGCTTATGTTCTCAGCACTCTGCTTGACAGCAGTGAAACTTGGTCAGCTTATTTGCAGCAGGAGAAACAGCCAAATAGCTTTTAAATGCGATGCCCAAGACTTGACATTAAAGCAGTCCTGAAATCTCATGCTGTGAGTGTAGTCGACTTTTATTAACGTGGTCGGGTCTTGTTTGTCACACTGGCCATCGCCATGGGCTGTGAGTCCCATGCCTCCTCACAGCGCAGTATAACACTATCATTTGGAAAGGTGCCAGTCATACAGTTACAAACAAGAATACACAAAATCACCTACCTATAAGTTGAGATTTCTCCCAGAATATCCATAGCAGCAGAAAACTTGAGTCACATGTAATGTGTGCTCAGTCTTTTGATACAGCAGCCATCCAAAGTTATCTGTACTGACTGTTGGCACAGGACGCTGCTTATAATGTCTCCTATCTGAAGATGGCATAGACTTGTTTGGTCAGGCTTCGCTCCAGGTCATGTAATCAGCTTAGTGTCAGACTCACTCAGAAACTACAGTGTTCATTCAAATCTCTTAAAAGGCTTGGATATTTTCACAAGAACCATGCTTCTTCTCCACTTCATGCTCCTCCTCTTGCTACTTCTCAACTTCATGCACCTCCTCTTGCTTCTTCTCCACTTCATGCACCTCCTCTTGCTACTTCTCCACTTCATGCTCCTCCTCTTGTTTCTTCTCCACTTCATGCACCTCCTCTTGCTTCTTCTCCACTTCATGCACCTCCTCTTGCTACTTCTCCACTTCATGCCCCTCCTCTTGCTACTTCTCCACTTCATGCTCCTCCTCTTGCTACTTCTCCACTTCCTCTTGCTACTGCTCCACCTCCTCTTGCTACTACTCCACTTCATGCTCCTCCTCTTGCTTCTTCTCCACTTCATGCTCCTCCTCTTGCTACTTCTCCACATCATGCTCCTCCTCTTTTTGCTTCTTCTCCACTTCATGCTCCTCCTCTTGCTACTGCTCCACTTCATGCTCCTCCTCTTTTTGCTTCTTCTCCACTTCATGCTCCTCCTCTTGCTACTGCTTCACCTCCTCTTGCTACTGCTCCACCTCCTCTTGCTACTACTCCACCTCCTCTTGCTTCTTCTCCACTTCATGCTCCTCCTCTTGCTACTGCTCCACCTCCTCTTGCTTCTACTCCACCTCCTCTTGCTACTGCTCCACCTCCTCTTGCTTCTTCTCCACTTCATGCTACTCCTCTTGCTACTACTCCACCTCCTCTTGCTACTACTCCACCTCCTCCTGCTTCTTCTCCACTTCATGCTCCTCCTCTTGCTACTACTCCACCTCCTCTTGCTTCTACTCCACTTCCTCTTGCTTCTTCTCCACTTCATGCTCCTCCTCTTGCTACTACTCCACCTCCTCTTGCTACTACTAAACCTCCTCTTGCTACTGCTCCACCTCCTCTTGCTTCTACTCCACCTCCTCTTGCTTCTACTCCACCTCCTCTTGTTTCTTCTCCACTTCATGCTCCTCCTCTTGCTACTGCTCCACCTCCTCTTGCTACTGCTCCACCTCCTCTTGCTACTACTCCTCCTCCTCTTGCTTCTTCTCCACTTCATGCTCCTCCTCTTGCTACTGCTCCACCTCCTCTTGCTACTGCTCCACCTCCTCTTGCTACTACTCCACCTCCTCTTGCTACTACTAAACCTCCTCTTGCTACTACTCCACCTCCTCTTGCTACTACTCCACCTCCTCTTGCTACTACTCCACCTCCTCTTCTTGCTGCCTCTCTTGACTACCTCCACCTTCAGTTGCTTTGTTTGGTGCAGACCCTGACTAACATGACTGTCTACTACTCCTTATCACTTTTTATTTTCTTCTTCTTCTTCAATCCTTATGTCAGAGAACTTATATTAGGAGGCCTGTAGCCTTTATAAAAGCTATCATGCAGTCCATATTCCCTCGTGTGTCGTACGAGGTTTGTCTTCATTGTAGTTGAAACAGGCCAGATTGCATCTCTGCCAGACTTCTCTGTCAGCAGTTTTATTTTTGACTTTGTTCCATTCCAGTTCTGTCTCAGTCAGGGACTCTCTGATGTTGTCTTCTCACTGAACCCGGAGTTGCCCCAGTGGGCTGGTTCCCTGGTTCTTGGCCTCCCATACTTGCCCCGGTGTCTGGTTATCTCCCATTCTGCATGCATGTCCAGACCATTTTAACTGTGAGTGACCCACTCGAGTTTCAAGATCATGACATATTATCTAGTTGCGAACTGTGTCTCTTCTTGTCCCTTGAACCACCTGTCTCGGATAGCTCATTTCTGAGGCCTGAAGCTGGCTTCTATGAGCTGCTGTCATTGCCCATGACTTGCATCCATAGGTCAGGACGGACACATAGGTAGACCTTTAATTTCATTTGTACCAGTTCTGTGCATGATTGCATTTACTGCCTTCTTATCAATAGATGGCACAGATTACTTGTTTGTGATAACAAATAAACTTTATTATTAACGTCGGTGAACATTTATTTGTTGCAGGGTTACGGCAAGGCTGATCACTCTATCACCGTGCAGCTACTGAAAGAAAAATACCCAGATTACAACAGTATAACTTGGACGGATGACTAAATATCTGTTGTGATAACTTTGTTGTTATATAACAAGTATGTGTATATAAACTGTCCCTTTGTTTTATTCTGAAGTAATAACAGTGGTAAGATATAAATAATGTGATAGTTTCATGATTGAATTCTTGTTGTGCCAATTGTTTTTGTTTTTCAGTTTATGGTTTTTTTTAATTGCTGGTAAAATGTTTGCTTCTAATTTCATAACTGAGTTTTAATTCATACAATTTGAGTTTCTTGTTTGTACTGGGTGAGTTAGAAGTATGGCTGTATGTTCCAGTGTTCTTTTATTAGAAAACTCCCGATGTGGGTTTCTGGTGCCCTGTTCTTTTTGGAAGAAACAAAATAGGCCCACTGCTCCTTGACAAGCATGTCATAGGAGGCAACTGTTTAAGATTTTTGCAGTTTATTGCCTGGCATATTTTGCTCTATCTCGTTAGTTGCATACTTCAGGTGACAGGTCATACAAATGTTCCATCAGCCATTGCACACCACATTGTAAACAAAAAGGTTGCTTTTCAAATTATCTTGGCCAACCGTAGATTATTGAGATTTTGGGAGCGACTGCAATAAAACGGTTTAGTCCAGAATTATACAGACAAAAGGACATGTTCTTCACCTTGCATTTACCCGGTTGAAACAGCTTTTGGATGTAGTCGATTTTATGTTTCAATTTGAAGGATTAATTTATTTGAGTCATTTCGATCAATTACTACTGTAGTATTCACCTGTTGAGATACAGCGAAATACGACAGGCAATAAATTTTGCAATCTGTTGTTTCATGTCTTCTTTGTTCAAATTCACAGGAGGGAGACATTGTTTTGATATTTAAGAATGTGCTGAAATTGAATGTGTTGGGCCGAAAAGCGCAGATTTTACAGCCTTGGTGTAAATTGCAGCACAATGTGCCAACTGCCCTTTTAAGGGCGCATGAAGAAAAAGTATCAGAAAGCAGTGAGTGACTCCAAAGTGTTTGTTAACTATGCTGCAGTGTGAATTGCGGCAGTCTAGGGCATTTAAGTTACAATGCTGCGATTGTTAGTTTGAAGAATACCCTATCTATGTGGCTCATTTCCATAGCTACTACACTTCATCTTCGCGTTTACTGGCTGTAAACTCCAGAAGAAAGTTCTAGTTGTTCATCTGGTCTCGACTTTAGTCTTGTTCCAGAACTTAAGTTTTGTGTGCACATGTCATGTGATTAAATGTGCGGCTAAACATAAGGCTATATTTCTAACTCAGTCTGTATCTGTTTTTGATCTCTGTGATTGTCACTTTTGAAAATTCATGTGTTGTTGATGCTTACAGTTTTTCTGGAAACACACATTTCAAATACACCATCTTCTTGACTTATGATCTGTGCGACTTACGACTGCACGTATAACCACACAAAAATAAGTAGATAAAACTATTAAATAAAGAAAGATAACTGCATTTGCAAAATAAATCCACTTGTAGGTTCTGGGACCTTATCGTGGAGAAACAAGAATAAACCCGCTCCCTACTCAAAAAAGCATGTTGTAAGAGTCAACTAATTTGGTGCTTCCTTCGAAGTCAGAGCATTTACCCGAGCAGCAAGGAACGACCAATTACACACAAGTCAGTAAAACGGATGTACACACAAAACTCAAACCCTGGCCCATAGCCAAAGTCCAATAGGATAAACAAACAACCAGGACTTTCTGCCGGAGTTTACAGCTGGTGAACAAAGAAAAGAAGGAGAAGAAGAATTGCAAAAAGTTCCCGCAACTGATGCAATATATTACCTGTTGAATATTTGTCACACTATGTACAATAATTATAAGTACATAGATTGAGTTTGTATGTTTTATTTCAGTTTTATAGCCCGTTTGAATCAAAATAGTGTTGAAAAGTGTAAATTCCACTTGAGACCAGTTCGACTTGTGATCTGATAGTTGGAATGGAACTGTGTCTTATTAAGTCAAGACGCTGTAGTTTATTTCAGCTAGATGTCAGCATTTTCTGCTGCTTCTGTATTTCATCCCCAAAATATACAGACCAAGCCGCAATGGGCCAGTATGCTTTTCTGACCTTGTAATAAGAGTTTCAAATCAACATATGGAATTTAAAAATAGATCCTTAGGTTGACCGAACCCTGTGTGGGTTCTGGTTGACTATCCCCCCACACCCTGCCCCAAAGCATGTTGTAAAAGCCCACTAATTAGCAGTGTTTCCTTTAAAGTTGGAATGTGTCTGCTTCCGAAGTGAGGAACCAAAGTATACACAAAATAGGCCAGACCTGTAAAGTGGACATGCACACAAAACTCAGCTTCTTGAACAAGGCAAGTGCAAAAGTGGACGAACAACCAGGACTTTCCACTGGAGTTTACAGCGGCAAAGGAGAAGACCAGGCAGGGTTGTCCGCATAACATATCAAGTACCGTTTGATCTATACAATAAGAAATAATAAGAAGAAACTCCACAGGGGAGCATGTACAGCAGGAGTCTACCAATCATCAGAAGAAGTAACCTCTCGTCGACAAATGTTTCTGCCCACGAGCTACTAGACATTTTTTCAGAGAGTGGGCCACGTGAGTTCATGAGACTCAGGGTTGGTTTCTCCTGCTGTACGTATTACCAGATGTTTTCGGACAGGAACGTGACTTTGTAAAAGATAATGTGAGATATGAAGTCATTGCGGTAGCATAATTAGAGCAGTCAGCTTACCTGGACGACCAAGTGGCAAGCTTACCTTTGGTTTACTGGACACATGTTGGACTTTGTTGGCAGGTGGCAGAAGGACACTGGCAGACAATTTGGACACGATGGACTTTAAGGGATAAGACATTCTTTTCCACTAGACACCCGGACCAGCTCACCGAAGCCTGTCCCCCACGATGTTCCGTTGTGTCCAGAGCCAGCTCGAGGCCCTCTCAGCAACCTCGCCCAGCTGTTTTAGTGTTCGTTTGCGTTCATTTTTTTAGTAAGCCTAGTTGTTTTATCACATTGTAAATTGAAGTGGAAACGAGACCTCTTGCGCCTACCTCGACGGCGAAGATTCTTACAGTGTACGCTTCGTCTCTCCTCAGACCAGCTGCTAAGTCACTGTACTTCTCGAGCTTATACATATGGCTTTTGTCCATTCGCGACTCATACGGCACGGTCAGCTCAATCAGGAAAATATGAGTCTACCATCATACACCGAATTAGCCACTGACATGAAAATGGTCTGGTACCTTATCATTATCATGCGGCAATTCCTTTACAGAATGTTGCTCTCCATATGGCACACTCAAAGGCCACTAAGTCCCCCTGCTTAATTTCCAGCTTTATGGACTGTGTACATCCATTGTTGCTTTTAATATCGTTTGTTCCAGTCAACAGTCCCCTCCTCCCATCCCAGGAACCATACCTTCATCACAGTTCTGTGCAGACCACTATGGCATTTAAGAAAGTGATACTGTTTAACTAGCCCTTGATATTCAGAACATGAAGATTGACTGTATTTTTCTGATAATTGGTCCAGCACACAAGAATTTTCAGGTAACAACTGTGTTCAAGAGCAAGTTCTTCAGCAATTGTGAAATAGTCAGTCACCTGCTCACATATCTTTGCTTACTTTTTAAGCATGGAAACCAGGAATGTAACTAATTTACTTTGCTATTATAAAGAAAATCGACATCCTACATGATCTCGGCATCAGGGAGAATTGGCTCGTAAACAGCATCCTGCCCAGAAAGCTGGGGGTATTTTGTTCCCTGTTAAACATGGTTGCCTGGAGAGAATGGTGAATGGTGATTTAGTTTCCCTAAAACAAGGCAGAGGCAGACCTCCATGAATGTGGTTGCAAGATATTGAAGATGCATTGTTAAATAAAGCAAATAAGGCTGAAGAAGTGGCTAGAGAAAGAGAGACTTTCAGGTGTGCTGTGAAGAGAGTTCGTTCTGTAAAGAACCTGCTGATTGACGAGGATGAGTATAAAGAAAATCAGTTGGAGAAGTCACTGGACTTCTTTGGACATTATTTTCTGTTCTGAAAAGCCAAATAAAGCAGTGTATGTTGAATTAAGAATCAACATCACAGTACTCTGGATACTCCTATAAGTGCTCAGTCTCCATCTTCAGCAACAAGCCATCTGTCTCATCCTTCCCCTGAGTGTTGAGCATCAGCCAGATGCCCTGGTAACTCCTCGCAGTGCCATTCTCCTTAGACCGTAATGATCTGTCTGCGACTCCGCATTGTTCACTTGCTCCGAAAGGGTCCTCACAATATCTAGCCTGTCATACATCAATTCACCACCAAGTGGTGCAGAGCCAGCCAGTCTATCTGACTGCTCATTTCCCAACACACTGGCATAACCTGGAGAAACCAGTTTAAGAATTAACTTGATATCCATTTGGCTAGTTTTGACTTGTCTACCCCTATCATATAAAATTTCAGAAACGCAAGCTGGCTGTGAACCATTCAAGGAAGTCTCATTGCGAGCTGAGTGTCCTATGCATTTTGGGAATAAATGGCAGAAAAGGAAGAAGAAGACACGGACATTTAGAAATCCTTCATAGTGAATTATTTTTGCATTTGATAAAGTTTTGTGTGCTTTATCTTTATACTTGCAATTTTGTTATGTATACTGACATGTTATCTTTACACAGCTGTCCCTTTCTATCCATTTATATATTTATCTTTACACACTTGTCACATTGTTTACCTTCTAATCATTATTTTCTAGTTTATTCAGCAAATTAACATCTTTATAAGTTAATTAAGAGCATGCATGAAACATATTGAAAGACAGAGAATGAAGTGGTTTGGCCACTTAGTAAGAATGCAACCGGATCAGATTGCCTATAAGGCCTTTTACAGTAGAACATCGGGAAGAAAGGCCAGAGGAAGACCCAAGAAAAAATGGTTAGATAGAGTAGCTGAATACGGCCAGAAGATCCAGAAAACTGTCACTCAAATCACGCGAGAGGCACAAAATAAATATTTTAAACCACGACACTGGGCTGCAACCCGGTAAAAGTGAAGAAGACAATAGATAG